CGGCTCTTGGTTTGTTCATCTCCAGATTTTCTTGTAGCTAATTCTTTCTGACCGACTGGCTGGCTGTATGATCTTGAGTATGGAGCCAGCCTAGTGGGCAGTTGTTGAAATCCTTTTCGTGATACGCAATGCACATTTCTGACCTGTCTAGAAGCAGTGACAGACTTGACGTCGGTGTTGAAAATCTGAATTTTGTACTTTAAGCTTAGTTTACAAGGTTTCCAAACTGATATCAGAGTGATGAAGACGTATCTTGCCCTTCCGATTCTAGTCAACTTTAACATCTTCATTCGTCGCACTGTCTGTGATTGAAACGATCCAAACTGCCTAAATGAAGGGGTTAACCTCTGTTCAATCTCTCCTTAGAAAGTTAAATAGCGTTTTGAAAGACACACAGAAATCCATTCAAAGTCTTATGAATTTCTAAATCATCTGATCAAAAAATTGACAAAAAGTACTAATATAATGTCATCAAACTTCTTATGACCATTCGCTAAAATAATTCATATATTTGTATTATTTACTAAGATTATAATCTCACTATTCATCCTTTCAAAATCATTACTGATTTTCCACTAGTCCATTAATCATTTAAAAACAGTCATTTATGTTATTCAATTGAACACTGAACATTGAACTATAAATTAATCTGCGCGCTTAAAATAAAATATATAGAATTTATGTCCCTATCTTCTCTTTTTCTACAAGATTCTGTGATCACATGATAATATTGATCGTTTTTCTCTCTTTCTCTCTCTCTCTCTCCTTCTATTATTATAAAAATAATTCCGTTGAATTTGGTTGAGAAGAAAAAATATACATAAAATCATGTTTTCTTTGAATAAATAACGCATTTTAAAAGTACAATCTATGACCTCATAAAAACGTTTCTTTGTGTGTGTTTAAATCACACCATGCAAATCTATTTTTTCAGTGTTTATTTGTGATATGTTGGAAATATATGAACTATGAGAGAATTATTGTGACATTTATGGAATGAATATATATGTATAATTGTCTTATTTTTAAGTATTGGTTTTGTAGGGATTTGGTTTGATTCATTGGAAGATTTCATCATGAGCTGACATCATTTAGAGAGATCCATTGGAAATTCAACGGCGAGAACTGCCAGACAGCTGCTTTGTCCCACTAGTTTGGGATGGGCTCTTCAGCAGTACACACCTAACGGTCGGGTTTAGAACCCAGGACCTTCAGTTATGGTTACAAAACGAACTCGTAGATCATTAAGCCACTGGCACTAGCCTTATCCAATGGCCAGCCGATGAATTCTAACTTCTGCCAATTCATTAGATAAAGCGGCCACTAGACAATGTGTTTTTCGATGAATTTCTGCCTCGACTTTAACCTGCTGTACCTACTGGTCACGGCTTCCCACCAGAAACCCAGATAACTCCCTGAATAGGACCAGTCACTGATGACCATCAGACCAGGCAGTTACCTGCGTTTCTAGTGGGAAGCTGTAACCAGTAGGATAGAGCAGGGTGAAAGTGATGCAGCAACTCATCGAAGAAGACATTGCGAGGTGGTCGTGCTATGTCGTGAATTGGCAGAAGCTAGAAGTCATCTGCCGGCCATTGGATACGGTGGGTCCCAGTGGCTTAATGGTCTACGAGCCCACAGCCCTTCTGACCAGGAGGTACTGGGTGCCTGCCTACCGCTGAAGAGCCAGTTCCAAACTAGTGGGACGAAGCAGCTGTCTGGCAGTACTCCCTTCTGGTTTTCTAATGGTTCTCCTAACTGATGTCATATCTTTACTTCAGAAAGATGGATACTTTTAAACTTATAATAAGCTTAATGCAAAATATTGCATTCATTTCCAAAGTGTTGTTAAGTGACTTTTTAACGTAGAATTGAAGTAGTTTGTGTTTCCATAGTTCATAAAATCACCTATAATGAGAGAATGCAGAAAATTCACAATGAAACCCATATAACTGGGGGGAAAGAATAGTTCAGATGGAGTAAAATTTGTTCACTTAATTAAAGTCAATGTAGATTCTTACAAATTAATCCACTGACGTTACTTCTTTAGTAAAAATTCTATACCTAACCTCATTATTACTCACTATAACATAACACTACAAAGTGTTGACTGTGAATTAATTTAGAAACCACTTGTACACTCCAGTATGCAGTGCCCAAAATCTCTATCTACCTCATTCAACAGCTCAGTCTATATGACAATGCCATGTATCAGGTGATTCACAACGGGAAAGACAACGAGGTGCTTGAAGTGAAGAAAGGAGTAAGGCAAGGAATCCCACCACTATTACTGATGATATTCTTAATTGTGATGGACGACAGGATTATGCATCAGACAGGGTAGAGCTAGGAGACAGGAATACATTGAACGACCGATATTTTGATTTTGATTTTGATTTACAGCTTGATTCCACACTGTATTTTTGGTACAAGTATGGAATTTTCAGCATGGATATCGGTAGCCCAAAATTCGCAGGCCGACCATAGATATCGGGTGTGCGTCGGCGTGGGCTCGAACCCCGGACCATGTGCATGGTCGGCGAGAGTCCTAACCACTGTGCCACCGACGCAGACTTTTGAAGATCTGGATTTCTCAAATGATATATGTCTAGTGTCACATAAACTCGAAGAATTGCAAGCGAAAACCAACAAAAAAACTGACATAAGACTCAGGCAATAAAGACAGCACTCCAGGTGAAGACTCCAGGAGAAGACTGAAGTGATGAAGATACCCACGCACTAACAACAACAACAACCAGCACCAATCAGGGTCAACGGGGGGGGGGAGATTTGAAAGATGTTACTCCGTTCATTTATCTAAGAAGCATCATTTCAACAACGGGAAGTCGGAACGGTTGAAGATATCAGAGCCAACTAGAATCTGAATAGCAAGATGCTCTTTCATCACTTTGAAATCAGTTTGGAAACCATCCGCACTAAGCTTAAAGAACAAGATTCAGATTTTCAACACAAATGTAAAGTAAGTCAGTCAGTAGGATCTTCTGTGTGAATCAGAAACTTTGACTGCGTGTCACGAAAAGAATTTCCAACAGTCTGTTGCAGACTTGCATCAAGAGCTGCCCGCTTCTGTGACTCTATACTGAAGATTTAATGCCCAGCCAACCAGAAAGAATTAGTAGCAAGAAACTTGGGCAGGTGATGAACCGACCAGGAGCTGATCGCTCAAAAAATCTGCAGGAGAAAACGGAGGTGGAGGTTACAACTTGGACAGCTACACAGTAATGCGACTGATTCTTTCTTTTAGTCCTTTCCCTTATTTCAGTGTTGAAGGTTATAAAAATGAGGTTGTAATATACACATATGCTAAGACACGTAGACGTCGTAGCTGAACTTTCCTTCTTTGCATTCTGTGTGGGATATAGCGCTCCAAGCTTTGCAAATCATTCATCTGAAATATTTCAAAATACTAGAAAATCAGTTCGATATCAGAATTCAAATTATTAGTTTCAAGGAGCTGCTTCTAGGATGCACTATGAATGTACACTTCACATTCAACAACGTTTATTACAGAAAAATCAACAGTATTGTCATTGGTTCTCTATTGGATCCAATTTTTGCAGATTTCTTTCTTGCTAAGCTTGAAAATGGTCCATTGAAACAAGTAATAAATAAAACGGAATCTTATTTTCGTTATGTTGATGATACATTTATTATTCTTGATGAGAAAACTGATGATAATAAAATTTCATGATACACACCTAACGCTGATGTTCACTTTTGAAGAAGAACATAGTGGTGGACTACACTTCCTTGGTGTCCACTTGAGCACAGGAGAGGATGGTTCACTCAAGAGAAATGTTTATAGAAAACCTACGTCTGTAGGACGTTTTGTGCTTGTGTACAAATCCGAATCTTGTTCTCTCTCTGTTGAGTGTAGAATATCTCCAGATTGGTTTCAGGTTGATGAAGGCAAATCAGTTTTGTACCAATCGGATACAAAATCAGTTTGGTCAGTTGCCTCACAAATAAGGCAAGACGAATCTGCACAGATGACTCCTTAGAAAATGAATTAGGATATATCCAAAATATGATGGTCCAAATGGGTTATCCAAGCAGATATGTAAGGAGACATACGAATACCTGGTATAATGAAGAGAAACGGCAACGGTTAAAAAGCACCAAGTGTTCCTGAAACTCCAGTTCACTGGGGATATGGCTACTGAAGTACTAAATTTATTATTATCTAGAGTCATAAAACCGACTTATACTGCCGCCACCCTTTGTTTCTCATTCTCTAGCTGATAAATTATGATTGCTCAAGCGAAAGACAAGCTGTCTAGCTGTGCCACTTCACTGTGAATTTACAGATTTAGCTGCTCCTGTAGAGAAAGCTGGTTATATAGGGCGAACAACTAGAAGGCTCAATAGACGTATTACTGGGCGTTTTCCTTCATGGTTCGGAGAAGGCCAAATAAAATCTAGCTGAATCTATAGGAATTCGACAGAACTGTCTTTACATTCAAAAGAAGTTTGTTCTACCTTTGTTTCACCCTTGGCCTAGTTAAATTCTAACTGAGAACTTCCCATCCTTTTTTGTTTTCCATTTCCTCCGTAATTTTTATGATATTTATTTAAAACTCTGATTATCTGTCCACTTCACCTTTAGTATTACGTAACCTTTATTGTATGTAAATAGAGATTCTACCTTCGTTATTTATGTAGCCACCTCCACAAACTGCCTGTACTTTTGTTAACATTAATCTTATTATCATTAAGTGGTACAAGCTGACTGTAGGGTTGCAGATGACAGACAGAAACCCAAGCATATAATCCTTAAAGACTTACAAGTCTAGATTTTTACCTACTGAGAGTGAACAGTGTTCAGTTGATGAAGTATAGTAAAAAAAAAAGAAACAAGCAGTCTGTCTACTGTTGTCTAGTTTTCAACGGTATCCAGATTACGGTGGCATCATGAAGAAAAGTCGTCACAAATGATCCCTAACTAATCTACAGTTTCTTTATTTTTTTTGTTCTCACAGATAACCGTCGGTTATTTATTGGAAAAAGATTTTTGTCTCAGACAGATAAATTCAAAAGTTTCAGGAGATAATTTGGAGGTAAATACAAAATTAGATTATATTCTTTCGTGTATAGATAGTTTTAAAACAACATTTTCTGTTGAACTACTGTTTTGTGATATTTTTTTCCAACTTTTCAAAGAGACGGTGTTCAGAGAATAAACTCACTGGTAAAATCTGAAATATAAATACTAAGTGGGTTTTATGATGAAATTTGTTTATCATGTAAGAATGCTTCTAACATCTGGAAACTGTTTAATCAAGTCATAAGCAAGTTTTATTTGATACTCATTCAGCAGGGTAAGCAAAGTGCCACTTAACCAGCTTGTTAATATTCTGATCGACAGGCACTTGGACTCATGTGAAAAATGGGCTAAATCAATCCATTCTATCTAACTCACAACACCCTCTTCATTCACAACTCTCCCCTTGTATCTATCTCATCAAGCAGGACCAGAAGCCTATATAGAAAACTATATGCTCGCACTAGTAAGTACAAAAGCTCAACCATATCCTACCTACTTAGCTCGTGTTCTGTGCGATAAAGAAAGCATTAGGCGTGAAACCTTTAACTTATTAAATAGTCAGTAGAATAACTGGATCTTGTCTTTCCAATTCATATCTTTGGTAGGTACAACGTTTTTCTTTCTTTCTTTTCCTTTTCTCTTTCTCTTTTTTTCTCTGTTATGTGCCGCTTTGTATCTTCCTTCCACTTACGCCAGTAAATATGCTAGTATCTATTTTTCTAACACCTTCAAACACTCTGTTCATTTTTCGGCTTTCCTACCGATATGCCAATATGTTGTTGTCATAATGAACTGAGATTTCCTTAATCGATGTAGAATTTTATTTATTGATAATGTACAAACTGGATGCAATACTGTAGTAAAATGCTGAGAATTCCATTCTGTATCACAAGTACTGTTTTGGAATAAAGCAAATTATTATTATTATTATTAATGTAAATGCCTTAAATCGATGTTTTATAATGCAACAAGCTAGTATGATTGGACCTGTTGTTTCTAGTCACGTAAATGTTCCATTCCTTAAATTTATCACACAGCCTAGGTCTCAACGGTGTACCAATCATTTTACTTCAAAAGTGTACTGATCTTTGGTGTCATCCTCTCAAATAAATCGTCAATGCATCATTTCACAGGGATAAACTTTCTGTTGCCTGGAATGAAATAAACGTTATGCATTTACCAATATTATCTTCTAGATCAGGTTGAAGGTTGAAGTCAATCATCATCATGTCTCTACTTTTGCATCTTTTACTCAAAGTAGTTTACTTGCAAATGCAGTTGAAGCAATTTGTATACTGGCGTTATACTCTGCGACAATATTGTTTTGATTCTTGATAATGGTGTAAAGTTTATTTGCTCCTTCGTGTTAGACTACACTGCTGCTTTTGACTCTATTCCTAAGGTACTTTTGCCAATCAAGCTAATTTCAACCTTCATTGAACCCTAGATCACAGGGTGGCTATCTTTTCATTTTTGGATAGAAAACAGTATACTGTTTGAAATGGAAAGCAGTCAACTTCTTTGCCAACAGAAACTCGTGTGTCTTAATTAGCTGCACTCTCATTTCTTTTCTCTCTCTGTTTACTTGACCTTTCATATTTTTCCAAAGTTAATTCCAGTGAATATGTCGATGATATGACTAATTCTGTTCTAGTAGTCTCTGCATTGCGCTGTTCTTATATGGTGGATAGAATCTTGTCTGAAGTTAACAAATGGTCTCACCTAAATATTGTTAAACAGTATTCATCAAAGTGTCACACTGTTAATTTTAGTTTCAGATGCGATAAAGGCTTGTGCGGACGAATTCAGTCCCATAGATTTTGTAATGCTGACAATGTTAGCGGATATAGGGTCGGGCTGGAAAAAGGCTAGCGACGGTCAAACAAAAACTTGGCCTCACCAGTCAATGAAATCCACAACAGTTGGTCTAAGCCATGTAGGAAGGTGTAGACTTCCAGGTTGGGGTCCTAGGGACGGTAAAAATCTATGGTTGGAAACAATTGGTGACATGGCTCAAAATCGTTCTCAGTGACAGCGCAGATGCATCCACTCCTTGTGACTTATGGTCTCCACCAATGAAACTGTTTTGTTTTTCTTTATTACTCCTTTGTCTCACACCTCTGCTCACTGTTTCTATTATGCTTTTCTTGTACTTTCTTCTCTTGCTTCGCGTGCTACATGGAATGTGGCGACTTGAACTTCCGCACATTTGTGCAAAGTTCTATGTCGAAAACAGACAGACAGACAGACAGTAATGCTGGCCTCATTCTGATAGGAAGCGAATCGAATATCTCTTATCTCGACATCAGTTTCTATTCGAATCTCTTTTGGTGGTCCCACATCGTGATGATTTCTAGGAAAACGTTTCGTTTGGCTTATTACATAAAGCAGTTGAGACTTTCCGGAATAACTCAACGTCACCTCGTCTTCTACAATTTAATAATTCATTTATTCTACCCATTCTTCTTTATTGTTCACGACGCTTTTTCTTCCCTGGGCTTCTCGGAAAAGATTATATCGTATCATGTGGAACACTGAAGATTGTAAGTAGGCTTATTGGGGTGTGTTCTTTTGACTCAGCTAAATGAAATTATTGTCAATAGACACTTCAAATCAATTCCTGAAAGCGGTCGACTAAAGTTGTCTTGTCTGATACCACTGCACATCCTCTTTATTCGTAACTTTTTCCTTGTATCTTTTCGAGGGAGGGTGAAACCAGAAGACACTTCATAAGAATTTATGCTTGTATAGCTAATAAATATAAAACCTCTACCATACCACCATATTTAGCCTGGGTTTTGTGTGAAGAGAGAGAGACTCAGATATCAGAAAAGAATTTATAAAAGGCTTAAATCAGTAACTGAACTGCAAAGTATAAGCAAAGATTATTAGTATTACGTGTATTATCGATTATATTCTTTATTTATAATTCATTATGTTCCACTAACTTTCAGATTGTACTGCGGATGGTTTAGTTTTCTCAATTTAATGTGTGTGCATACTTAGAAAACCAGCCAAATTGTTGCAATATACATAAAAAAAGCGCTAAAAATTCCATTCTGTTTGTCTATTATTGTTTAAAAAGAAAGTGACTATAGTTATTGTTATTATTATTATTATGGTAAACTATCAGTCACATCCTTCGTCAGCAACTGTCTTCGCTCAGTACCACTCAAAATCAGATGGCTAGCCAGAAAGGATCAGCAACAGGGGGGAATCTCTGGCAATGAACGAACCTACCAACCCAGCAGGAACCAACTGTGCAACAAATATGCAGGAAAAAATGGTAGCGGATTGAATTGGCCATACACTGAGAAAACAAACCATCAGATGAGTGACGTCACATGCCAGGCAATCGCTTGTGTGGAACTCGACCTGAATGGGAAGCGGCGAGTTGGTTCATCAGTGCGAGAGTGACATACAGGAGATGGAAACATGTGGGCAGACGTGGAGCCAGGTGAAAACGTTGGCAATGAACCGAGCACAATTGAGATGTGCGGCTGAATCCTTATGTTCCTCTAGGAACTAAAGGAAACAATAACAATGATGATAATAACCTGAATATTCTGTGTCGGATTCCCTTTTGTCTCATGGGCAGACAATGCTAAAGACTCCTCAAGCTACCTAATGTTATTACTTCATATGACTTGAAATGAACCAAATACCTGCGAATCAATACTTTAAAATTATAATTGTAGCATATAATCAACATCATGTAAATGAATTATTCTGTTCAAAATGTTTTTATTACATTCTAGTCGAGTGTAAACTACAGCACATAGCGTAGAACTAGGAACGTTCAATATATTTAACGAGAAACTGCAGTCTTTGTAGAAATGTCCTTGAGTCTCTGTGACTAACCGTCCGAAACAGTTCACTATCAAATAGTTGGTTTTGAAATTCCCTCTTTTTCACTGACGTCGACTAAACCAACTGGCCATCTTATATTCTTCTGATATATCACAAATGTCGATCACGATATTAGCGCACAGTACGAATTTTGCAAGGTACAGGATTTGCTATATTTCCGTAATTGTTTGTTATAAACCAATCTGTATGACACTCCTAGGCACAAAGCATTAGTACTAACTCATTGACTAACCGGTTTCAACATACAACTTTGCACAGATGTGCAGCAGTTCGAGTTGTCACACCTCACTCCATGTAGCGCACAAAGCAAGAGAAGAAAGTAAAAGGAAATGCAAAATGGTGACAGTAAACAGATATATATATGGCGAAAGAATAGTAGTATGGAAGAACAAGATGGTTTTATTGGATATTATAAATCACAAGGAGTGGATGTATCTGCGCCAGCCAACCATTCAGAACGATTTCGAGCCATATCACCAATCGTTTTCAGCCTTCATTGGTGTTAACCGTCCCGAGGACCCCAAACAGTCAGTCAGGAAGTCTACACCTTCCTACGTGACTGACTGGCTGGCTGAAACTAACTGTTGTGGATTTGATTGACTGATAAAGTCATGTTTTGGCTTGACCACCACTCACTAGCTATTTCCCTACCTGATCAATCCTATGTCAGCTAACATTGCCTGTTGTCGAGGAAGGCGATGGCTATGGATGTATACGTAACACATGTCCTAACCATTTCAATCGATGTCACTTCACAGACTCGTCTATTGATTTCCCCTCCCACCTACCTAGCACTCGACCGACGCCTAATGTCAATATTGCTGTTACCCTATTACACCTACCACTTCACACAGGAGATAGAACGCAGGCACCTATGATCGAAGACAGTTAGCTGACCAGGCTTTTCATGTCTTCCACTGTCATTGGCTAGGTGTTGCTCACAACCAGCCGTAAAGGAGGATGGCTCAGAATGCTGAAGAGTCCACACAGCCTTTTTTCGCTAGCCAACCGGATATCACGTCCATTAAGCGAGAGAAGGTGTAAACGGGCATATGCGAAACGAGCCTTTATATCCATGCTGAGATTTCGTCAGCGATCAACCCATTGGCGTTGGCTGATGCAATCTCACAAATAATTGAAGTGGTCAGTGGAGCGCAGTGGTCCAGTCCTGTAGCATCATCTTATATTCGCATGCCAAACACATGCAGATTGCAGCTTAAGGTGTTCAGAAGACTCTGCTGGATTTTGTCAGCGTCTTCACCTAGAAGGACTATATCATATCATATGCATATTCTTAGTCAAAAATATTATTCCCTGATGGTAACAAGTCAATCCATGAGTCTCTAGTATAATGTCGTGGCACTATAGTAGTTAAGATTTTTCTCTATCATAATAACTGAATTTCTAACCGGAGCTCCACCATAAGCTGAAAATTAAACAGAATATGTGCCCTAATCTTACTGATCTGACTGAGTTTTCAAAGCAGAACTTTGCACAAAAGTCAACTATTTGAAGTTATCACACTATGAATGTGTCACATAAAAGCAGAGGATGACTATAATGAACAATACTGTTCAAGGGAAATAACATGTTTATGAGGAATAATGAAACTTTAATCGATCTTAGAGTTTACAAAGAGTTAATGTTTATGCACCTGTGACAACTACTTTGAGCCGCTTCATCTTCAGTCTCCAGTCAAGTACTTGTTCTCTTAGAATCTTAAGCAACTCACTCAGGTAGCCTAAAACTTCCCGTATGGCTCAAATTGATAGTTAAGTACCTTGTGGATTGATGCCAGACTTTGATTCAACCGCCCGTAACTCATTTTCAACCTAATCCTTTGTTTTAATTGAATTTCGAGCCTCAATGGATACGTCATCTTTTACTGAGAAATGCAGGTACATCTAGTTGGCGAGTCCCAAATAGGACGAAATGCGCATCCTGGATTCCACTGTTAGTCACCATTCATCAACTAATCCTTTGTTAGCTATCTCTGCTAGAGGAGGAAGGCGATGACTTAGCCCGCATAACACATGTCCTAAACATCTCGCTGTCATTCGAAGTAACTTTACAATCTCATCGTTTGACTTGCCGCCATCCTTACTTAACTGTCTACTCCTAACCTTGGCATTCCTCCTCATATATTATACTAGTTAATCCGAGAGTTAGAATCCAAACAGTAATTACAGTCATAAACTATGCATAAGTAATTCATTGGCATTCACTGTCAATTCATGAAGGAATCCATCTTGAAAATACGTATCATCAATAATGTTATCATCGAATTATTATTATTATTATTATTATTATTATTATAGTAGTAGGTAGTAGTAGTAGTATTATTCACTGCACCAATTACTAAGCTGTGTGGTTAATTCGCTGAACTTCATCACTCACCCATCCACCCCTCACTCCCACCAACCTCCCGTATCACCATAACAACTACAATGACAGATGAACAGTAAAACGACTTCAAAAATATATAACAAAATGATTTATATAAATGTATATGAAAAGATATTATTCACATGTCATATTCATATTATGCTTAATAATAATGTTCTATAGGCGTAGTCACGTAATTTGGGTCGTTTACACACCTTGCGTTGGTGCGTACGATGCTTAAATCTATTAGTCGGTTGGTTTTGTTTACTGGAAAATGTATAATAAGTGTATATCGAATGGTTTTATGTCATTGAATCAACCTTTTTTATTATATTCTCAGACACTTTGTTTATTTTGATAACATTGTGAATTAAAATAATAATTGTAAACAGCTATGTTATAATAATCTAATCTGTATATCACATTGTTAGTTAGATAGACTTATATGAAGAGATACAATTTCAGCATAGAAATAAAATGCTTGTGATGTGATTTCCAAATATCGACTAAATGGCGTTTTTATTGTGCAGTAGTTCACTTAGTTCTTTGTTACGCTTGTGACATAATGCTGAATCCCTTAAAATGTCAGACTATTGACTTATCCTTTAGGTATAAACGAGATCTACAAACACTAGTAGGTACTCATGAAGTCTGTAGCATTGACGAGATTAAAACTGAAACTTGGTCTAATGCAAAATACCTCGGACTAGTTCTATCTTCCGACCTTACATGGTTATGTCATATCCAAACGATTTCTGAGAAAGGTTTCCGTCTAACCCACTACATTAAGAAACTCAGATTATCTGGAACCACCCAACCTCTACTTTCACAATTTGTCAACTCTCGTATCTTACCTACTCTACTTTACTGCTGCCCATTAGTCTTTCCTGAGCTACTGAAAAAGGACTATACCATCCTGAGAAGGATGTTGAAGGTAGTTAGTAGGACTAGTGGTGAAAAACTCAGTTAGCTCGTCAGTACATTAGTAGAAAGGCATCTGAATGCATGCGAAAAGTTATCTAAAACCATACTCTTCGACCCCAACACCCCCTCTATTCTAACTCTTTCCTTGTATCTCATCAAGTAGAACCAGAAATCACTATAAAATAGTATATGCTCGTATAACCAAGTATAGGAACTCAACGATACCATATTTGGCCCGTGTTCTAAGTGACAGAGACAATGTTAAGCGTGAAACCTATGACTTGCTTTGATCTTATTAACATAATTTTAGGCTCTTTTATTTCTCCCTTATTTGTATTCTATAGTGAACAACCTTCTTAAACATACTTAGCTACCTAAATTATTAACACTGGCTTACTTTTTTTTATTGTACTTTACTCTATTCCTTCTTTTGTGTATCTACTGGTCCGACTATATTATCACTATGAGTATAACAAAACTGTCCTATCATTAACCATCATGTAATATTAGTTTTGTGGGTTTTTTTTGTTCGGCAATATTAACTGACAATCTTGGTTGTGAATGCAGTTATCACCATCTTAAAATTTTATATTATGCAGGATTACTCACACTACCTCTACAAACGCCGCATTAGAGCTGACAATAAAAATCCCTGAAATGTTTATTTTATGATTGTTTAGTGTAGTTCAATCAAATTAACTGATCATCTTGGCGATAAACACTCTTAAATATCATTTCATAACTTCTAGTATGACTATAGCTTTACTGTTCACCACGCCTAAACATATCATAGCTTCCACTATCCAATACTGAGATATTATTTATTAAGTTGTTTATTTTCCATTCTACTTCCTGGTATTTTTTCTCATTTTTTTATTATTTTTGTGTTTTTTTGTCTCTGTTGTTGTTGTCTTTATATTTATTTTTTGAAATACTCCTTTTAAACTTTGATAAAATTAGATGCAATATTGTAGATAAGGGCTGAAAATTCCACACCGTACCACTAGTACTGTTTCTGGAATAAAGCAAAAGTTATTATTATTATTATTATTATTAAAAATGAAACATATGAAGAGGCTAGCAATATTTTGTCATAGACGTTTAGATTCTATCCCTTGGGTTAAATGACATCATATACGGAGTGATATTGAGTTTAGATGTGTAGTGTTTAGTTAAGTTAGAATGCTAACGGATGAGGTTGTGAAGCCGCGTCGATTGAAATGTCTAGGACGCACACGTGTCAAGCATTGCTAGTTGATTTCGAATTGATTACAAGATTCCATCATTAGCTAACATTGGTTAGAGAACCGCTGAAAAACCTTAAGGGACTACTGGACAGCCGTTTCGTCCTCGTTTGGACCTCTTCATCAGGTCGTGCATGGGGACAAATAATCGCTGGCGATGACATTGGCTAGTGCCGGTCGCGTTACATCGTAAAGTGGCAGAAGTTGAAATTCATCGGCCGGCCACTGGATCAGGTCCCAGTGGCCTAATCATATATGAGCTCGATGTCCTTGTATCCGAAAGGTCATGGATTTGAACTCCTGTGGTGGGTGCGCGCCGATGCAGAGTCCCAAACTAGGCTGGCGAAACAGCTGTCTTGCAGTACTCCCCGTTGATTTTCCAATAGTTATCTAACTAATGTCTACTCATTATGAAATCCTTTAACCAATCAATCAAATCCACACAAGCCAATATTTGGATTTCTAATTAAATTGAAAAACAGATAGGAGTGGTTTAATCAAAACTTGGTACTATTCCACGAAGTGTTGAAGTGTTAGCTTAAGCCACTGAATTTTTTCACTACTGAGTTTAATATTATGTTTCATTTATTTACGTATTTATTTATTTTCATTACCTCTATAATTCATTTTAGATTGATGAATCTCGCTTACGCTTGAAAAATGAAATCTTATTCAAGTTTCAAGTAACCAATGATGATTTAAGTAGTAGCGATACACTTGTTGATTCAATGATCAATAATTCTACTGATATCTATCAATTATACACACAAATTACAATTATTAGACCACAATTTAAAATTCATCCAATTGGCGCCTTAGATTTTGGTACTGTTTTAATTGGAAAAACGAAAAAAATGGAGATAAAAATACAAAATATAGCACAAACACCAACATTTTGGTTGCTGAAACTATGTAAGCGAAAATTGATGATACACTTATGAATGGTAGGCTATTTTTAGAATAGTCTATAAAATTTTATAAACAAAATACGTGTGACGAGAATGACGTAAGCAGACTTTGATTCTCTCCCAAAAAGAAGATACTTTATTGGAGAAATTCCATAATAGCTTTTTCTTCCCACCTAAAACAGAGGGAAGGTTTTTTAGCCTTGACAGCCTCTAGGTCATCGTCATGATTATGATATATTGTCCAATCAGATTGCAGTAGGCTATTCAAGGTCAATCTGATCATGTATCAGCTGTGTGATTGCTGAGAAAAATAGGATTTTATTATGCTAAATTCCAAAAGTGAAATTATGCCACCATAAATTATGTGGGGATTTATTCACTTCATATAACAGCAACCTTATCAGCGCTTTCTTTAATGTGAATAGATTCAGGAAGGATATTTCAGGTAATTCTATAGATTCATGGAAAATTCCCATTGTAACATATAGAAAATCAAAACAAGTGGTGATTCGGCGAAGAGACTCTTTTCAGCGACGAATTATTTATCAAGCTGTACAATCGTATACCTTTAGTTTTTAAGAAATTATATCCGGTGAGGGAACTAAATCGTAGGTGTGAATGCATAAAATAATAATAATAGTAATAAAAGAAGAGTATGCAAGTTGAATAGACAAAATGAAAACAAAATTGGTAGAGCCAAAATGTGGTTGAGGATTACCATATTTTAGCATAGAGGGATTAAGACCATGAAAGTTGGAGGGGTTGAACGAACTTTTTCCGTATACAGAGATCTGGCTTTCCTGTTTCGATAGCTAAAGATGGATTCAGCAATGCAGATGAGTCGGATACGTAGTGATATCGTTAAATTACTTTTGCCTTGTAGATGACTTTAAAGGCGGAGGCTACAGAGATAGGGTGATCATCGTCGACCAGATGTTCAGTTATCGCGCTTCTTATTGCTCCACTTCCACCTCTTCGCAACAACCAGGCAGGATAGTGTTCTTGCACCATCTTGGACAAAACTCGAGTCGAACGATTGATATATCTAGGTCCACACGAGCAGGTGAATTGATAAACACACATAGAGTTGGTCAACAGCGGGATCTTGTCCTTCAGGTTATTGAACAGTAATGGTCGACTAATAAAGGCTATTCTCAGAAATGCAGCAGGGAATGTTCTTTTCAGGGACTATGATATCCTTCTTTTCATGAAATCGGAAGCTAAGTCTCCTTTGAATTACAAGCTCATGTACAGTATTTTCTTGAGTGAGGATGACAAGTCACGTTTCATAGGATTTGAATGTATATTCTTGTCTATAATGAGAGGTGGAAATCCATTTTCTGTTAGAATTTTCTCCGAAAAATTAAACTCATCCTCCACAATATCAGGGCTACGTATAGGTATAGATGTGGTTCCTGTGATATATTTTCTGATGTCATTCGATTCCGCAATTTCTCGTCATCTGCACAGCACTACCTGAAATTACTATGGTTATAGACGAACCAAAGTAACATATTGTAGTACTGGAGCTATAGTTCAGAAAGTGTTACAAAACTGACAAATTCAAAATGTAAACACCAAGCAACATTTCAAATTAGAAAACGGCGGCGGTGGGTGAAATATAAAAATCTTATAAACAATGTTAGCTTATAAATTTCCACAGCAACTTAAGAAAATTATAAGTCATTAGATTGAACCTTTTTTCATTGAGGTGAATGAATGATTAATCCATGCAGTCAAGATCAGAATGCAGTTACTAAGGGGGGTAAGAGATTGACCACACTCTCTTTCTGATTGTAGTCACTTTGGTATATCATAATAGTCAACTTGTTATCCCTTGCATATTTAATGTCTTGAACAATTTGGAGATCTCTACAAAGCAACCTATATCCACATAGTGTCTGGTAATTGCAATCTGCAAATATCTGTTTCCTTTTAGACATACGTTTCTTGAAAGGTGTTCATAAAACCCTATTGAAGCCTTTCTTTCTATCCTTCTAATGTAACTGCTATCGCAAGTGCATGTGAATTTATAAACCCAGTTTGAGCTGACACCAGCAGAGTACTTATCCAGTTTACATTGACTTATTGAGCATATGGTGCTATTTAGCGATTTGAGATTAGTTGAAGAGAAATATCTTTTTACTGCCCTCTTTATTCTTTTGTCAGTTCTGTGAAACACTCCTTATCCATTAAATAGAGGGCGAATAAAGACTTCCTTCTTTTTTCAAAGTTGCGTATTTATCGTCTTTTTCTTTACCACGTTTTAGAATAAAACCCACAGGATATCCATTCTCCCTCAAAGGATTTCTTGATAAAGCCTAATTCTTCTTCTTGCTTGTTGGGGGAAGATAGTTTTATGGCTCTGTCATATAGTGTTCTCACTACTACACATTTACAGATGATAGGACAGAAGTGGTTATGAAATGCATATAAATTGATGATCTGCAGATGATGAGAATCTGTGAAATAGAATGACGTCATTTTGAACTGTTAATTTTGGCCTTTCTTGCTTTATCGAAATTTGATTGCATGGAGGATTTAATCATGAGCTGACATCAGTTAGAGAACCACTGGAAAACCTGGGAGTACTGGACAGCTGTTTCGTCCTAGTTTGGGACTCTTCATCAGCACGCACCCTGAGTTCGAATCCCGGTGGGTGCGTACTGTTGAAGAGTCCCAAACTAGGACGAAACAGCTGTACAGTACTCCCAGGTTTTCCAGTGGTTCTCTAACTGATGTCAGCTCATGATGAAATCCTCCATGCAATCAAACGAAATCCCTACAAAACCAATACTTGAAAATTATCGAAATTTATCAAATATTTTTTATTATTTATTATTATCCCCTTGAGTTCCGAGTGGAACACACAGAGCTTCTACAACACATCTACACTTTCTTCTATGTTCTGCTGTCCTCTTCAACTTTATCCACGATCGTCTATAATCTCTCATCTCCTCCTCGCACTATCTCCCCCATGTCACCCTCACACTGATGATCCACTCGTTACTTTCCATTAGGATTCCACTCCAGAGATAGCTTGAAATGCACACGATGCAATGTGACGGTCTCCTCAATGAATACCCGATCCACCTCCATTTTCTACTACAGATTTTTCGAGCGATCAGGTCTTCTTTAGTTCGTCACATCCCAGAGTTTCTTGATATTAATTCTTTCTGGTCGGCTGGGCATTCGGTCTTCAGTATAGATCCAGAGAAGCAGGTAGCTGTTGAAGAAAGTCAACAACAAGACTATTGTGTATCCTTTTCGTGACGCACACGCAATGCAAGCTTTGGACTCATATAGAAGCAGTAGCCGACTTGACATTGGTGTTGAAAATCCGAATGTTGCTCTTTACGCTGAGGAGTGCAGAAGATTTCCAAACTAGTTTCAAGTTGATGAAGGCTTACCTCGCCTTCCCGACCCTGACTGGCTTTGACTTCTTCATCTGTGGTGTCCACCTGTGGTTGAAACCATGCTTCCTAGATAAGTGAAAGAATTAACCCCTGTTAAACCTCTCCCGTTGATGGTGATTGCTGCTGGTTATTGTTTCTGTTGGTTGGTTGTTTATTTATAATATATATATATATGTGTGTGTATGGTGATCTCTGTTGCTCGCTTAGTCTGTGACCGTTTCACTTGATGAACCTGTCTCCTTTAACAATGTATATTCCCCTTATATTATATAATATGTGTGTTTGTTGACAGTCTGTCCTTGCTGATATATATCTATATATGGTGTTTGTTGACATGTCTGCTATATTTTGCTATGTATATATGGATCGATACTCCATTATAATTAGCCAATCATGTTAAGACTGTCTATTGATTGTTCACACTTGTTTGGACATTCATATATATTTCGTTCTCACACTTACTTTGGTGTGATACTTTTGCTTCTCTTGTGTTTGGAAAATAGAAGTATCATCGCAAACCTAGTGGTCTTCTGATTTCGCCTTCTTGCGTCAGGACTATTAAATTCTCGACAGTACATAACAATAATTTGGCGACGAGTGCATAACATTTTCATCACCTCCGCCTTCTCTATGTTCACCTGCAGTCGTGTCTCCGCCACCAGCGTCTTAAGCCAGAAATTCATCGAATAATCGTTAAAATTGTGCAACATTTCGTTTGTATCTAAAGCAAATTTTAATTGAGGGGAGAGGAAAACTGAAATGTTTTGATTTTTGTTTTCAGCCACATACCTAAAATGATTGAAAATGTGGGTGTAACAGGCAAAAGGGTGTGTTCAACTGTGTTTACTACAACATAAGCATTAAGATTATCCTAAATTAAAATAATGGTAAAATTATATTAACCGCGGGAGTATTTAAAGTCAGGTGTAAAAATACTGAAATAGACAATTTAAACAAAATTTGAATTCTTTAGGATCTAAGCTGAATTCATCGTTGTATTTCACAAGGTTTTCCCAGTAGCTGCATTATTACCATTATTTGAATTATTTCTTCGGGCTCCTAGTAGAACCTAGGGCCTCAGCAGTACATTGCCATTTCAATATTTTCACTGAAGCCTTTTCTAGCTGTCTCCAAGCTTGTCCACAAGCTTTCACCTCCTCCACATCACTGTCAAATTCATGCACAACTTGTCGTTCCCCAGTCGCTTCAAAACTCGATGACCTGCCTGATGCGCGACGTCACTCAATGGAAACTCCAGAGTATGTCCAATCAATTTCCATTTGCCTTGACACTTATTAGACGATAGATTAGTAGTTGGTTAGTTTGTTGCCAGCCATTCGCTGCTTATCCTTTACGATCAGACATCTGATATTCAGTAACGAGCAAGAGAAGGCGGCCGCTGATGGAATCTTTTGTAGCCTGTTAAACTGCTGATGCACCGAATCTCTGAACCATATAGAATCACTGGTTTGACATTTGTCTTGAAAATTCGGTTCTTTTTTCCTTATGGTGTGTGCAGTATATTTCCACAAGGAATCCGGAAGAATGGAGGGTTAATTTTATTCCTCCGACTCGTCCTGCATTTGAC